CAAGAAAGCCCCTCCCAGAAGCAGGTCAGCTCTTGATCCTCTGTAGGTGATACTACTCTGCTGTCCTAAGTCAGGCCCGCACAGATACGTATAACATCTTTAAAGATGATGATAAAGAGCTTTTATTCCCTCCTATCACAGGAACATTCTGATACCATCTCTTATGGGATGATACTTGGCTCTAATTTGGCTGCTTCTAATTGGCATGAGTAGGATGTCTGGCGTCTCATCAGGGAGAACTGTCTGAAGAGCCAAGGCGCTCGATGCCTTTGTTAAGAGTATCTGCCTTATGAAAAACATTGTTATAATAGTGGCCTCCAGACGTATCACTGCAGGACTGGGAACCCTGCTGTGCTCGGCAATGCACATCGAAATAACAGGAAGATGAATCCTAAATCCATGAGGGTGACAGAGAAACAGGAGCACAGGTAGCAATAAGACCATTATGCGTAGCGCAGTAAATAGAGCCTGGGCATAGCAGTCATTTTGTCGGTATTGATTACGTGGTGGGAGCAGAGGAAGAGCAATGTGTGGTTCAGCTGGTGTTTACAGAAAGCTCCTGCGGTGTGACAGGGAAAATGGGACAAAACACAAGGGGTGATTTTGAATCACGGAGACTAAGAAGTACATCAAGGCAGAAGCCAGGTTCCCCTATCATGGGAAAGCTGGTGGGTGGATTGAAAAGGACCTTCAGGGTTACAGACAGTGAAGGAAGGTAAAAAGGTGGTGGAAAAGGATGTGTGTGGTGGTGTGTCTGTAGCTGTACAGCCAGAAAAGGAGCAGCCCGGTCTTCTCTGGGCTGAGAAGAGGCCTGGACATGGGGGGAAGGGGTATGTTTGATGGGATGGATTCACAGGATGAATCTGGCCGGGCAAGGGGAGGCTTCAATGGGGAAACATCTTCATAATACTGAGCCCGTCTGTTGGATAGTTATTCATTACAGGATGCAGGGAAAACAAGTTGACTAATCCAGATAGAAGGTAACTAAAGTGCAAAGCTACTTTATGTGCTGCATGAGGGATCCTCACCTCTGAGGAAGACTGGACATCACCGTCACCTTCAGTAGTGGCAGTTAGTCTGTGTATCACAGTAGTGCTTTGGGAACTTTTGAAGTGTGGCACCTGGCTTTACTGGGCAATGCACTAACAGGTCCTGCCCAAATTGCTCACAACCTTAAAAGCTGCAGATGGATTCAAGGGTGTAGTCTACAAGCAAAAGAGAGAATGTGGTGGCAGATGCATTAGCAATTATCACATCAATTCAACTGTGTGGATTTACTGAGGATGATCCTAATGAATTTTGTCCTAAGATACTCACAGTTGATGGGCTAGCAGTCCTTGAGCTGCTAGTGGTTATCTTGGCAAAATGTGGAAGATAAGGTTGCACTTCTTGAAAAGGGAGGTGAGATAGAGAAGAGAGAGAGGGAGGAAGGGTGTTATACACCACTTAACTTGATATGAAGTACTGAAAGGAATAATTGAGCTATTTCTAAATGTCTACAAGATAACGAAGACATAAGTTGCAACCAACATGGCTTGGTCAAGAGCAGTCAAATCAAATGATAACTGATATCACAGGGCATTTCTATAAATATCATGACATAGTCTATAAATACAGTCTTGGTGAGGCTATTCATTGGGTTGATGCAAAGCTACTGAGTGCCAACTAGTGATTCACTGTCATATTAGATGGTGGCCATTTTAGGTCTGATGCTATTCAGTATATTTAAGGACATGGGTGACAGAATTTAGTGTGTGCTTATTACATTTGCAGGTATTACCAAGCTGGAAAGCCTGTGGGCACACTGCAGGACAGTAACAGAAATCAGAGTTATCTTTAGAAAGTGGAAACATGGTTTGAAAAGAATGTTTTCATTGCAGACAAGTTCTGTTAGGTGTGCAAAAATAATCCAATGCACAGATACAAACTGGGAGTGGAAGAGGGGAAGTAACACGATCTGGAGCTCACAGACTAAATACAAAACACGAATAACATAATTCTGTGAGCAAGTCATCATACTGACTGATGTGCACAGGAGACCATCTCAGGTGAGGTGAGGTAGTCCTTCCACTTCAGCTGATGCTAACGCCATTTCATCTCAAGTGCTACGTGCCAGTTTTGAGCACCATATTCTGAAGATTTGGACCAAATTAGGACAATGCCTACAAAAGCAAGAGTGATCTAGAGAATAAGACTAATCAGAAAAGTTTAAAATAGAGCGGAAAACACAATCTAAGTCTTCAAATGCGTAAAAAGCTGCCACAGGGAGGCTATGAGTAATCTGCTTGTGTCCATAGTGTATAGGGAAAGAAGTTATGGATTCAAATTAGAGCAAGGGACATGTAACTTACCCACACTTACCCTTCTCTTACCTGTAGTAAGAGCCAAGCCATCGGATAGGTTGTATAGGGAGGCTGAGATCTGTCCCATCTTTGGAGGGTTTTAAGAGCAGGTTAGATATATATTTGTCAGGAAACAGTTGATGTGAAATTGATTTTGGAATTGGTCTTGCCTTGCAGCTGAAGGATAGACTAGATGACATCTTGAGATCTCTCCCAGTCTCATTCTCTATCATCCTGTAAAATGAGACAAAAATGAAGCAAGGACAGCCAGGGAAGAGAATACGATTATGGGAGGAACAGCTTTTGGGGTGGAAGGATGGGGTGTAAGTGGGATGCAGAGAATTGGAGTAACTTGTCATGCAAGATGGAGGGAAGCTCCTTCAGTGTCTGGAGGTTTATTGTGCTGCGTTTGCGCAGCTGGACTTTCTGACTTGTTTCCCTGCAAGATCACATGAGGTGAACGTGAAGGGAAATGCAGGCATCAGCTGGCAAAACGTCTTGCTTTGGCCTTAAAGCAAAACTTGTGTTTTCTCTTCTTGTGGTTTTTAGCTGACAGAGGCTTTACAATGTTTTCTTGCTCAAATAACTCGTCTGTCTCTGGTGAGGTACCACAGTGACTTGAGAAAATCCCTGAGCAAAGAAAATTTGTGGGCTTTCATAACGTGCCTGAGTTTCCCAACTCCAGCTCTTGAGAGAGAGTCATCCCTTCCATCTCCCGTGCCTTCATGAGGCATCTCAAATGTGCCTTCAGACACACTGGCCTGCTCTCCTCACTGGGGCTACGTTCCTCTAAACTAGCCCATAGCCCTCCAGAAGCGCATCTGACAGCTCCACTGGGTCCTGTGGCTGGGTGGTCCAGCTCTAGGCCAGCACAGCAGCTGAGGCCAGAGGGACCCCGGGGCTGACTAGATACCAAGCTTTTCCTAGGGGCAGGACGATGCGTGATTTGAGGATGAGAAGCTTAACTCTGCTCTGAAATAGCTTTCCATAAATTTGGGTACATTAGTGGCTAAAAATAGCTGGGAAAGGTTAAATCATCTTTCCTTATGGCTGTAACGTGGCTCTAAGGGTGTTAGTACTGTTCTTGTTCCTCTTCTAAACCACGCAGAGGCTCCACATTAGTTGGAAAACTGCATTTTGGGGGCAGTGTGAGTCAATGAAGAAGCGGGAGCTGGAGCCAAGGGAGGAGCTAAGGCTCTTCTCTTGATCCAATTCTGCTCACTGTGTAGACAGGATTTCTCTTCACAGAGTATTTGAATAGAGGGTATTTCATTTCCCCATGCCTCTGGGCACTGCCTGTCCCTGGGTAGCACTTGTGAGAACAGCAGGGTAGCACTTTTGACCCTTTCATAGAATCACAGAATCATAGAATCGTCTAGGTTGGAAGGGACCTTAAAGATCATCTAGTCCAACCATCAACCTAACTCTTGACAAAAAAATAAATAAGAAATAAGCAATAAAAAAAAAAAACCCACCAAAAAACCCCACTAAATCATATTCTTGAGGACCATGTCAACCCGTCTTTTGAACACCTCCAGGGATGGTGCCTCAACCACTTCCCTGGGCAGCCCATTCCAATGCTGAATAACCCTTTCGGTGAAGAAATTTTTCCTAATATCCAATCTAAACCTCCTCTGGTGCAGCTTGAGGCCATTTCCCCTTGTCCTATCTCCTGTGACTTGGGAGAAGAGACCAACCCCCACCTCTCTACACCCTCCTTTCAGGTAGTTGTAGAGAGCAATAAGGTCTCCCCTCAGCCTTCTCTTCTCCAGGCTGAACAACCCCAGTTCCCTCAGCCTCTCCTCATAAGACTTGTTCTCCAGACCCCTCACCAGCTTCGTTGCCCTTCTCTGGACCTGCTCCAGCACCTCAATGTCTTTTTTGTGGTAAGGGGCCCAAAACTATTCTAGGAAGGGCTTTTTTTCTTTTCCCTCTTGTCTCACTGACATTTCAGTTCTGGTAGAGCACGGTGAGAGGGACTGGCCCCAACAGAGAGCTTTGGTCGGCATCGGCAGGGATAAGACAAAGTAAACCTCACGTCAAAAGACGGTGAATTAACCCGGTGGGGTTTGCAGTGTTCCTGCGAGTTCAAGGTGCCACAGACTGTTGCCCTCAGTCACCCACAGCACCTGCTGGCACCCAGGGGCTGTGTGAGGGATGCTGCTCCCAAAGGGGTGGCAGGAACCAGAGCAAGGCATGGGCTGCTGCTGCGTGGGCATGGGACGAGCAGGAACCGAGGGCAGCCACAGCCCCGGGGGGGTGGGGGTTGCCTTTGCCACAGCGTGGTCCAGCTGTGTCCAGCTTTGAATCGGCTGCTGCGTGTCCCTAAGGGCCAGGGAGCAGGTGGGAGGAGGGAGCAGAAGGGGAGACATCGGAAAATGGGTAGATTAATGAAACGTGATCCATGCTCCCTCACGTCAGGGCAGTGACATCGTGACTCCAGCCAAACAAGAACGCGAAGGGTTTTTCACCAGTAGAACAGCACCGTAAGACAGCGAGCACAGGAAGATTGCTCTCTGGAGACCAAACTAAACAGAATTCCTATTTACCCAGGCTGGGCACACATCCTGGGACCAATCAGCGTATCGAGCAAGTGTGAGCTGAAGCTAATTACAACTCTCTTTCATATAACCATGTACATAAATAATCTGTCAACAGAGAGAAGCGTGCCTTCCCCCATGGCTGCTGGAGACTCTGGAAGAGATCCCGACAGTCCTGCAGAGCCAGCCTGGATTTCCATAGCAAGGCAAAAGCAGAGGGGTGTGCAGCAGGAGCAGGAACTCGACAGAGAAAAACTGGTGGCTCTGGATGTGAAGTCAGATACAGAGAAACAAAATAAAGAGAAGGAACGAACAGAGGTACTTACAATACAAATTTGTGATGCTTTTGTATCACCTTTCTGTAGTACTCTTTGAATCTACTGCTATATTACCAGCCATGCTGTAATGATTACAGATATTTTAATGAGTATAATCATAAGTAACAAAGGCTTTTGGAAATGTGTTAGATTCCGAATCTTCTGATTGTTCAGATATGTAATTTTGTGTCTCCAAGAAATCCTGGAACTACGCGAGGTGTGTAAAATTTCTTGGGTGCCTAGTACATACTCACCAGATGTGCTGTGTGTATTGCATGCTGAAACATCCCCAAAGAGGTGCTAAATTGTACAGTCTCGGATCTCTCTCAATACAGAGGAAATGCAGTCTCTTTAACAATCCTTCTAAGCAGAGCGTTTCATTGAACATCCTATACACCCTGACTGATTTAACACTGAATGAACAGCTTGGTCCCAGAAGCTCCTAGGTAACAATTTTTAGAGAAAATTTTGAGAAGCGAAATAGAATAAAAATAACTTTTGCACTTACAGGCAGTGCCAAGATATAAATTCTGGTTCTCTGTATGTGGGTAACTCGGGTGCCCAGGTGGTGCCGTGAAGATGGGCTGGCGCTGCCTCTTCGAAGACGCCGTGCAAAAGAGGGAGATACCTGTAGCAAGTGATCTTCCCTGATGGCAGAGCTGTGCCAGCAGAAGCACTTGGCATTAATCCAGAGTACCAAGAAGGATTCCCTGCTGCTGGGCTTGCTCACGGAGGCAGCAGCGGGCACAGCAAGAACCCTGCACTGATGCAGGAGCCTGTGTGTCCTATGCCAGCGTGTAGCATTCCCAGTGCAAATGGCCTACTTTCTTGCCTCGGATGGTACTGTTAGAAACCCAGACAGCTGTTATTATACCCTGGAATACAAGATCTCCAAGTGATGAAAAATAACAAGAAATAATACCTAATGAAATGCCTAGGCGAGATGATGAGCTGCAAAAACGCACAACATTGTCATAGAGCTTAAAACACCAAGGGTGTAAATGGTCCCAAAATACAGTTTCTGTGTCAGAATAGGAAACTCCAGCTTTTAGCTGGCAAAGTTCCCTAAAAATCATGCCATGCATTTTATTTCTCTATATCAGCTCACAGAGGAACTTGCCAAGATGCTCCTGACTGCAGCGTGTGAGGCTCGGTTCCACTGTACTACTCCCACTTTCTCTTTCTCCCACATGGCACCAGGCACTATCACTTCAGGGTGGTTTTTGATACTGGCAACAAAATCCATGGGAGGATGTGTTTGATTTCTTTTTTTATGGAAAATCCATTTACTGTCAACCGCCCAAAAATACAGTGCCCTAACCTACAAAATTTGGGAGGTGGAAAGGAAACATGAGAGAACAAGGCTGTTTCCAAATCCTACATCCTAAATGTTATCCCTGTGTTAGCAGAGGTGTGCAAAGGGCTTGGGATGCAATTTGCATTGAAGACTATAAGGATGTACTCATAGATAGCATGTATAACAGATACAGAGGGATTGTTTTAATTTGTAAAGTTGAGTATCATGGATGCTAACGTGAAACCACTGGAGCTTTCTGAACAGGTACCAGCTCAAGTGAGAGGATTGGGACCAATGTGTGATGAGTGCATGTCATCTTTGAACTGTGACAGGCACCACATCCACTCCCTTTGCTCGTGTCCTTCCAAACTGCTCTTCTTCTCTCTGCATTACTTGGATTTTATCCCTCTCTATTCCCTAGGGGTCAGTGAAGCAGCAATGGAGCAAACCTTCACACTTGGCACCTAAAACCACTTCTGACGAACAGAGAAAAGAGACGAAGTCCGAAGTGAAGGAGCTGCTGCCGAGAACCAGTTCCCTGTCACACTATGTCCCTGGTAGGAAATAAAATGCTTGAAATATAGGCTGTTACCTCACAACCTTGTCAGAAGTCCTGCTTCAGTGTGCTGGAAGGGGGCTAGATCCTAATCTCATCCCCAGCCCCATATCAGCAAGTGCAAACTGTTTTCTCAGCACTCACCTCTGGGGTTTTATTTGATGGCATATTCTTTTGATCACTTTGATGACAGAGTAGTCAAAACTCATGTTGAAAGAAGAGTGAAATGAGAGTGCTAGGCCATTTCACAGGACGGGGTACCAAATGCACTACCCCGGTGTAAATTGTGAAATGCACGCAGCGTTATTTTCAGTAGCATCAATTTCCATGTGGTTTCCTCAGCAAGCTGGAATGATGGGATCACAAACCGTCTGCCCATCAGTCCTCCCACAGCGACTTCAGATCTCTTTGGTAAATTAAAATTTGAAAGAAGGGCAGAAGTTTGGAAGGTAAAGAATTCCTGTGAGTGAGGGGTGCTGCGTAAAGGAGGAATTCACAAATGAAAGTTCCTGGTAATGAAAAGACTCTCTCTTCTTTGGCCTTGGTGTTAACACAGGATATGGCAAAGAATCCAGGTCATCATGTTGGTTTTGGTAAGTTTAGGGACAAAAAGATATTATTTGTGAGAGAAAGAGTGCATTCTTTTGAGCACGGAATGGTTATTGCCTCAGGAACGTAGCGCAGAAGCAGCTTCCATGCGAAATGTGAAGATTTTCTGCGGCAGGGCAAGGCACGGGAGGCTTTTAATGAAAGAGCCAGGCTGTAGGGCTGCACAGCACGCAAACATAAAACCTTCATCTCTTTTATTCACAGTAGCTCCGACACCAGCACTGGGGGATAAAGAGGAGATAAGCCACTTCAAGAAAGCCAGTAACACTGCTCCGGATCAGCCATCGTGGATGGAACTGGCCAAAAAGAAATCACAGGCTTGGAGTGATATGCCCCAGATTATAAAATAGAACAATGCAAACAAATAGCATCTTCCATAATTAAGTCAACTACTTAACTGAACTTCTACAGACCAGCTAATCACAGTGAACAATCTCTTGATACAGCAGAAGGGTTTTATTACACAGCTGTGGAGAAAGTGTGCAATAGGTGCAGTCAAAAAGTTTACCTTCAACTTTGTAGCAATCAGGATTGCAATGGCAACGCATTACTTAAATTATGCTAAGGACATACTTACCCTTTGGAAAATAAAACTTTTACCTTACGTGTTTCCCATGTGTTCTGCTTTTCATGACGTTTGCATCAAAACAGGATCTTTGCTAAACTTTGCTGAACTTCTGTTGTTGCTGGAAACTTCTGTTTGTTGTGGGTTTCTCTGTTTCCATGTATAAATTTTGCACTAACAACATTCCGTTGATGTGTTTGACTGGAATCACCTGACATTCTTCCTATCAAAGCTGTTTGGAGCACGGGGGTATTCGTGACTAGCGGGCAGTGAGTACTCCATTAAAATGCGGTGCCTGAGCTGCGTGTTTGCCTGCCTGAGCCAAGTGGTCCGGTTTCTGGGCTTGGGTTACATTTCATGAGGCACAAATACACGCATTTATGCACGACCAGGAATAAAAATTCCTCAGTTCCTTCTGTGAGCAGCCTTGGTTGCACCGTGTTTGCAAGCAGGCGAGAGGTAAGGAGACTGAAGGGCAAGTCGGAAGCTCATCAATGCATTCACAGTCACTTTCCTGCCTGAATTTATCTGGTTGCGACTGGTTTTCCTTCATGTGTAATCATCATTCTCAATTAGGAGGATAGTATGCAATAGGTAGATAGGACAACATGAGTTTAGTTAAAAAATAAGATTTTTAAGGCTTTCATCTAGAGTCCGAACTGAAATGCTGGGAAAAACTGTGAACTTCAGCTTCACGTATCACCCCCTACATAATCTTAATTACTCTCATTTAAAACATAGTAATGCATAGCATCTCTGTACTTTACTACCTTTATATGGGTAGGGGGTATGAGGGGAGACCTCATTGCCCTCTACAGCTACCTGAAAGGAGGTTGTAGAGAGGTGGGTGTTGGCCTCTTCTCCCAAGGGAATAATGACAGGACCAGAGGAAATGGTCTAAAGCTGCGGCAGGGGAGGTTGAGATTAGACATTAGGAAGCATTACTTTACTGAGAGAGTGGTGAGGCACTGGAACAGCCTGCCCAGGGAGGTGGTGGAGTCACCATCCCTGGAGGTATTTAAGAAACGTGTAGATGTGGCACTTTGGGGCATGCTCTAGTGCCTGAGATTGTTGGGTTGTGTCTGTGGGTTTGGTTTTTTTGGGGGTGTGGTGGGTTTTTTTGTTTGGTTTTTGTTGTTGTTGTTGTGGTTTTTTTGTGGTTGGACTCGATGATCTCAAAGGTCCCTTCCAACCATAAAGATTCTGTGATATAAGATTGTCATGCTCATCGGCCTGTGTCTTCCCTACCAGTTCGGGACTCCTGCTCAGGAAGTGTTCCATCAAGTGCTGCTCACTATGAAAGCCAGGGCGTTGGCCTGGGAGACTGTGAAAGGCTTTTGGAGGCCATGTGACTGATGGACTTGTCATATTCTTCATATTCTCCTTTCTATTCATGTCACGTTCACTTCATATTCTCCTACCACTGCCAATAGCCCAGGCCTTTGTGCAGGATTTCTTCATTCTGAGAGTCAAAGGGTCACGTAAGTAGGTCTTGCTATAGCTGTCTTGTCAACAGGTAGGCAGAAAATATTTTTAGAGCCCATGCATTCTTCTTTGGTTAAATGGCTCATTTGTGGCAATGGGAAGATGCAAACACAAATATATTTTTCTTCTCTGTATGAACAGTGATTTACGTTTCACACTCAGTACCACCCAAAGAACCTTTCACATCTGCTCAGCTTTCCTACGGACGTCAGTGCACTCTTCCAGCAGAGACACAATATGACTGACTCAGGCTGATCTATTTTGCTCAGGCAGCTGCTGTACGTATTGTTGGGGCATTAACAGTGAAATAAAATGTAAAAATTCACCCTTTGTTCGTGACTCATGCACATGAACGAAGAGAGCCTGAATTACACTCACAGAACAACAACAAAATGGACTTGACAAACAGAAGAGCTTCTCCCAGAAGTGCTGCATGGCATATCTTTGGCTTTCTGTTTAACGAGCAAGGTGACACTCTGCGAGCCGTTGTCCTTCCCGGCAGTGAAGGACCACGCACCATGCAAATGGAATTGTGGATCAGGCGTCTTCCAGCACAGAAACTCTAGATTCAATGACTTAACGTGGTTTACGACTCGGATTATCCTAATTAGCTACCTCCCAACGTTTAGTAATTTTCAGTAAAAAATTACAAGGAAATTATTTTTAATGTAGAGCAAAGTGCAATAACTTTTTAAGGCCGAGATATCCCTCTGGCCTTTACTTCGATACGGTGTTTTGCACTGTGTTGCTCGTGATGGTAAAAACATTTACTAAATCTATTAGGTTGTTTTTTGGTTTATTTTTCCAAGATGAAGCGGAATATAAAATCTCGTTGCCAGTGAAAATATCCAGCAGCAGCAGCGTAGCAAGCAGCCTGCTGTAATTTCTCAATGCCATTAATTCCCTCTTAGTCTGGAGGAGCATAATAAACTTGCCAAAATGTTTGCTTTGTATACATGATGAGCACTCTGCTGTGGGTAACGAAGGTTTAATTACAGGATTTTGTGTTTGCAGTTAGAAGATAACTTTTGTACTGTTAGAGAGTCCAGAAAAAAAAGGAGAAGAAAAAGAAAAAAGCCATTTGTGAGCAGTGGGCAGTGCTGTATGGCTCATAAAACTCTGGGGAAACACATAACCCCGTGTGATCCAGCACAAGAGTGGGATGCTGTGGTAGGAGATTAATGGGATTAACTGTGGCAGGAGAAGGCATTTCGTTTCCAAGTGGGCACGGGTCTCGGGCTCACACATTCCCAATGTTCGCCAAGCCGCTCAACGGGCGACAAGGAACCGCTGAGGTTTTTATAGCAGGGGGGCTGGTATTGTCTGACTTCACACAATAAATACCGCTTGAAGATTTTTACGGATTATTACTTCCAGATAATTCTCTGCCCCGTGTCACTCTCTGAAGCTGGAGGCTGACGAGATGCATTCACACAGTTCGGCTTGTCTTCCTTCGCCGTATCTTGCAGCGCCTTTTGCTTCACCCACAGCTTCTAATTCTCTACGTACGCTGGCTGCATTCCCAGAAGAAAACCTCTCTAGCTCATCTCAGGCAGCTCAAATGGAGGTCATTCAGGAAAACGTTGAACTATCTCCCTCTCTGGGATCCCAAATCGCTCTCTTAAGAACTTAGGAGTGCAGCTAAGAGCGTGTAAGATCTTAAAGCAGCAGAGTGATAGAGGACAATTTTCCTTCCTTCCATCTCGCACATCTTCACACGGAGTCCTTTCATTGTTGATTCCTTTTTGCTTTGTTTATTTACTTATTTGCATATGAAACGGTGTATGTTGCAGGCTCCTAATTCCACTGAAGCCTATTCACAGATGCTGAGCCAGGTACTGTGGTATCTTAACAGGCCTCTTTAACACACTGTCATTTTTTCCAAAATATGGTTTGATTTCTAAAGTTTAGAATTGACATGGAATTTATTAGCCTGCCTTTGAAAGTCAACTCTGCCTGAGAAACACTTCAATTAAAAAAAAAAAAAAAAGGAAAAAGAAAGAGATCTCTGTTCACTGTCTACTGGAAAATGGCACTTTGCACCAGTGGGTCCCATCATGATTGCCAGCACGTGGCTTCCACACTGTCACTTGTCACCCGTGCCAGCAGCTCCAGGATGACAAGGCAACTGGGCCACCCGTGCTGCTCTTGGGTCAGACCATGGAAAAGCATGGCCCCATCAGAGGTGGCGAGGAGGCAGAGGAATCTGGCAAGACCCTGCTATTGCCAACCACCACTGGTGCTGCCCTCCCCAGCCAGCAGCTGGTGTCAGACCGCCTTGAGGTGGGGCAGTGAAATGTACTTGTCTCTGGGTTCCAACTCCAGGCATGGGACTGCTCGTGAGAGGGACGGCCCAAGCTGCTGTAAAGATCTCAGCACCGTATCAGAAACTGGAAGTCTCTGAACTGCAGAGTCGAGTTTGTCCCAAAGTCATGCTCTGGTGATTGTGTCTCCCAAAGAATTCCTATTCCCATGTCATTTTTCTTCCTTCCCCTCCCACCCCAAATGTAACTAGACTATCAATAAACCCCTCCAAAGCATTGCCTTCATCGAAGAACCAAGCAGAACTGTCTGGAAAGAGCAGATGAAAACACCCAGAGTTGTGACAAGAGGAGAATTCGGTTAATAACCCTTCAGGAAAATAAAAGCCACTTTTCTCAGCAGAAATAACAGAGACTCCTTCATAAGCCGTTGGCTCGTCCTGTCTGCACTCGGCACAGGAGATAATTTTGATGGGCAGGCTGCCTGCAGACAAGGCAGAAGAATAAGGCCCTGAGCCTGTCCAGGCAAAACAGACATCATCTTCCCCATCTGGCCACTCCTTTAAACAAGGGTTGGCTTCTTTTAACTCCTTTGCCTCTTCCTGCAGCACTCGCCTGGGGTACACAAAAGGGATTGTTTTTTGCTTAATGAAGCCTTTTGTTTGGTTCATGCCTTTCTTTTGAACTACAAAAAAACAAAGGCCTCTCAAGTAAGAGTCACTCCCCTCAGCTCGTCCTTGTGGCATTGCAAAGCTCCCCCCTAGGTTCTTTCTAACCCCTGGGCTCCGTGGTGGTTCAGTGGTGGTTCAGTGGTGGTTCAAAGTAACTCCAGCTCCAGCGCCCACTGGGAAACACAAGGAAAAAAGAAGTTGGAGCTAAACATAACAGAGGCAACCTTTCCTGCTCAGCAGAGAACTCTCACTGCCCGGTTTCTTTGGTGCCTCCTCCTCCTCCTCTGTGATTTTCAGTTTCTTTTCCCAGTGCGCTGAAGCAGCCCACAGTGGGCTGCTGGCCACCAAAAGGGTGGCTGCACTTCTCCAACATCCGATCCAGCTCCTGAGCTGGGTCCCTCAGCAGAGAGCAGGGCACGGGCAGCCTGGGGCAGCGGGGTGCAAGTCATTTTTGATGGTGGACGGTGCTGTCAGCTGCTCTCCAGAGAGACACTGAGCTTTTGAATTGCCTTTTCACGCCACAATTTCCCCCATTATTGTTGAGGATGTGATTTATCTTACCTTGTGATCGTGGACAGGAGATGGGGGGAGGCAGATTTGACTGTGACCTACTTCCCTAAAG